GTAATATTAACAAAAAACTCATAGACAGCTGCCTCCTTATTTAAACAAAATAAATACTCAGATAGTTAAATTAACAAAAAATACACATTTAGGGGATTATAATTTATAGAAAGATCATAAATTTACTAAAGTTGTATTTTACAATGGCAGATACTGATCTCTTCAAATTGCTATTAGAAATGGGTAGGAAAAAGTACCAGAAAAGGAATCTAAATGTTTATTTTCTAAAAATAAACACAAATTGATTCCTGAAAAGTAGTTGGGAAAAGTTTATTGAGGCTTGAAATAGGTAATCTAAAAGCTTTTACTTAAAGGAAAACAAAACAAAACAAAACAAAACAAAAAACAACCCTATAGAACACAACCATAAAAACGACACCTAGTTACATTCTAAATAGAGATTTTTGATCACTAAAATCTTGACTCCCACAAACCAAAACTTTTCATATTCTTCCTGTTTAATGGTGTGGCTTGGCAGAAGTACACACACAAAAACAAACAAACAAACAACCCTGCAAAATTAACTATTCACTTAGCATTTGTTTTATTCACTTAATAAAGTAGGCATGCCCATTTTTCGGTGTCCCTGCTAGATATGGAATTATCATTTCACACTGTAAAATACCCTTTTCATAAAAGAATAACCATTTTCAAGGCCCACACTCCAGTATCAGATGCCTGAAGTCCAGCTGCACAGCCGAGGACATCCGAGGGTAGGACCAGGTGGAACAATTATCATGAGAACAGGCAGGTGTGGTTCTCACATCTAACCTAGACCCAGGAAAACCATGCTCTGCAAGATTCCCTTAAGAGTTGTTCCCAGACTGCTGTCCTTTGGAACTCTCCATCTTGGAAGGGAAATAGAGCAAGAAACATGAGAAGCATGATCCTTGCATATTCCGACCCCCAATCCACCTAGGAATGGGTTCTTCTTGCTTCACAGTACTGAAAAGCATAGGCCTCCCTCACTGTCTGGTAGGGTGGGAAGTGAGCAAAGACACAGACAGAAACAGGGGGCTAAGAGGATACAGGGCACCAATAAAGCGAGGGTAAGAATTGACAGTATTTTTTTTTTAATAGAAAAAGTTATTTTTTTCTTTTGCATGTCCTCCACAGCTTTCCTTGCCCTTTTCTCACTTCTTTGACCAGTGCATTCTGTTTAACCAAGATGCTCACATTCTAAGTGACACTTTGATTCCAGCAGGAAGGAAATATAAGTGTTCTCTACTTTTTTTTTAAAATAAAGTACTGAGCATGGTCAGTGGAAGGTGCTTCTGAGGGACACAGACAAGATCAGTCATTGATAAGAGAGAAATGTAGAGAGATACCAGGAAGCGAAAATCATAAAGGACCAAAGTTGGAGGAGGTAAATAAATATGTGAGAGTTGCCACTGGCTTCATGTAAGAAATGACTTCATCTTTGAATGGCCAGGAACTTTACAGGTTTCTGATTAAGTCACAATGACCATTTCCATCTATCTGAGGGTGGAGGAGGAAAAACATTAAGCTTTTGATAGCGTGTCCTAAGTCACATTACATATAGAAAAATACTAACCACATCTATAAGCAAATCCAGAGTAAAGGACAATGTGTTCAAGCRCTATCATTACTCCTTAAGCTTCTTTTCCTTCTTCTGAATGTCTGAGGTACCTATGTTTCCAAAAGCCATTATTAGTTTTCATGGTGCCTAGCAGAGTGTTTTTACATGTAATAATTCAATAAATATTTCTTATATGTAATTTGTGCTTAGTTATAAGTAATTGAGACATGCTTTTATGCACTCCCTTTAGTAGCTTAAGCTCCACTGTTGTGTCCTCAAAAAGGCTTTGAAATTAGGATTATAGTCAATGAACTGAATGAGGTATTGATAAATAAGCAAATCAGTCCCTTTCAAGAGAGATAAGTATGCCACTTCTACATGGTTTCTACTGAAACAGTCCAACATAATCATATAACAATATTTTTTCTTTTCTTTTTTTTTAAACCAAGCAGATCTTCATGCTTATAGAACAGTATTTCTAAACCTTTTTGGGCTCAGAGCATTTTGTCAAGGCAAAAGTGTTAGTAGACAATTTACCATGTTCACCTCCTAAATTCTTAGAATGAGCACAAAGAATAAGGTTTTGATGAATTTCCAGTATTTAACTCATTATGAACTCATGCCGAAAAACTAAACAAACATAAATATGATAATCTCCACTTGTTCGAACTGGCCAAATAATTATCTTCCCTTCTTTTCACATCATAAGAGGCCATCTAGTATTAATTTATATTAGCAATAAGCATCTAGTATGTTCCCTGGCATTGGTTCACATAGCACCTAATGTCTTCCACATATATAGTGCTGTGAGATGTCATCAATTTTTGGATATAATGTCTTATATTTTTATAACATTTTATAATTTTTGATCTCTTAGTTCATTTATTTCTTACAACCTAGGCAGGATGATACTGATTTGTCTTTTGAATAAATTACATTTTATAATATCTTAAGTACAGCTTTTGTAGAAACAGTATTTTATTCTATTCCCCTTTTCAAAATTACTAGGTGTTGCATACATTTCATAAGACTTTTGCAATTTTCAAGTAATTTTAATAGATTTTTTTCTCAACCATTTTGGACGAATGGAGTACATTTTACCAAAGAGATCAATTTGAGTATTATCTGGAAGTCTCCTGAGTACATATATTGACCCTCACCGTTTTGGAGTAACAATATTACTTCTTCTTTCTCTTCCATCAAAAAAAGGTAAAATGGACTTTGTTTTTATGTTTTTCCATGGTTGAGTCCTTGGTTTAAAGTAGAATTTCTTATCTTCCTGACTACCTGTTATCTTTGAAGTATTTGCATTACTTAATATAGTGAATATTGCATAAAGAATGAATGCTTACAACAGTTCCTATTCAATATGTAGAAATATTTTCATTTGGGGGACATTCTAATCTCTTTTGTAATCTTTGCAAATACTCTAGTGGACAGCAGGGGGAGATCAAAATCCACTGTATACTATGTGAGGGGAAAATGCTTTATAATCCCAATCACTTTTATAGCTACATGACTATGTTTAAGATGAAATAACTTGCTTACAATTTTTAAAAGACATGAAAACCTAACATTCTCCCTGCTCCCAAAGGTCGTTACAGTCAATATTGCCTAAAAAACAGTACTGCTTTTTAAGGTCACCATTCAAGCTTTCTTTTCATAAAACGGAGTTCTCCTAAGTTAGAAACTGTTCCACTGTGCAATCTCAGAGCTATATCTGTGACAAATATAACTACTTCTAGTGCAATGTAAGTTTAATGCCTGAATTTTCACCTTTGAAATTAAACACTGGTGACAGAGCATAAATGAATGAAAACTAAAGATGCAACGGAGAGTTAGACTTAAAACCATCTGGAGTGGTTGTCGGCAAACTAGAACCTGTAAATGTGGTGTGCTGGGTGCTTTTAAAAAGTGTTTTTCTGGAAAACAGCCGTATTCATCCTTTTTCTTCTTTTGTGTCATCTCTGGCAACATTATACAATGTCAGAGTTAAGAAACTGCAATGAAGACCKGGCTGAAAATATTTACTGTCTGATCCTTTATAGAAAAGGTTTGCTGCCCTTGGTCTAGATTTTTAATATATATATTTTTTAAAGTTTAGGTTTTGAAATTCTACAATAAAAGACTGGTTCAAATTTTACTAGTAAGAAAGACAAAAGAGTATGGATTTTGACATACTGCCTACAAGACAGTCCTTCACTCTGAAACCGAGAGAGCAAATCAGGGAGAAAGAAAAATCAACACATACTTTTGATTTCTTTTAGTTACAAAAATCATTGATGAGATTACCTTCTTCTCCATCTTCCTGAAATTAAAGACAAGCAGTTTCTTTTTTTCTTTTCTTTTCTTTTTGTAACAAAGATAACAAATATAAAAATCTAGTCATAAAGAGCCTTCAAAGAACAATTACAAACCAACTAGAGGGATCCACTTTTTGGAGGGTTAATGGGCTTAAGGTACCRCCATGTTGTCAGTTTTACAATGGCTGCAGAACCGAGGAAGAGTGTATACAGCAGGTAACCGCTGAATCCATCCTGTTGCCATCCAAACTGAACTTTACTCTCTTCAGGATACAAGAACTTGCAGAAGTCTCCATGACACTCTTGGCAAAGATGTCTTCATCCCATATGAAAAGAGGCAGTTTCTATGGCATATTGGTTAAGTGTCTATCATGCTGCACTAATATAGTGCAAAAATGTGCCTTCCATAAGCAAAAAAGATGCAGGCAACCAGTTTGAAAATCAGGGAAAGTAGAAATGTATCAACACAAGCAATTTAGCTTTCCAGACAATAACCACTATAAAATACTGAACTTGAGGATTCTTTCTTCTAAGATACTAGTACATGTCYGGCATTCGTACATTGGAGAGAGCCAAGAGTGAGTCTTTTTTATAAAAGAGTCTCTGTCTCYGAAATGCAGGTCAATAAAAGCAACCATCAAACCAGGAAGATGCTGAACTTATTCAATGGATTTTCTGTTTAGCTTGGAACTTTTCTCTTCTTCACTGTTAAAGTTGCTTATTGACAAGTATATAATATGACATTATAATGTGTGTCAATCAATTGAGTATATATGTTGTTATGCTTTACAGTAGTATTGTAGAGGTCTTGTTACAAACTCTTCATGCTAGAATGTTCATGGGCTAYCATTGCAAACAGCCTTGTGTCAGGCATCCAATGGCCAATTTTACCACTATATTTTAGAAATGAAAGTGTTTTTTCAATTGGTAGATTTCAGAGAAGATGACAAACTTCTAGAATTCTGAAGGTTGTTGGCTTATATGTTAGTGGTGCTATCTTGAATAGCTCAGTAGCAGCATGATTTTCATTTTCTTTCTTTTTTTTTTAAGTTAAAGTGAATTATAATCCACAGAGTTTGGATACTGTTGCTGCAGCCTCTGGATATCTACAACAAGGTCATAAAGCCAAAACTGGTTGTTGCCAGGAAAGTTAAGTGTTACATGTCTGCATCTCCATCATAAGCTAAGGTTAAAGGTTTCAGTCGGTTGTTTTGCCTTCTTTGGGGTTTCTTTGGCTTTTTGCTGTAAGAAATACATTAAAATTGGGAGAAAGAAAAAAAATCAATCTTCAATTATAATTTTTATCATCTTATATTTTAAAAATAAGCAAAATGAATTGATCAACCTAAATTGCCCACTTTCGGGCAATACTAAATTCAACCTTAGAATTTAGTGTTCTGGGTCTCTTTAAATTTCAGTTTTGTGTTTTGGAAAAAATGTTAAATAAGTTTCAAGTATTTTACTATCCTCTAAAAGACAAATTATCCTTGTGTCCTTTAGTATAAACAACAGAAGCAACATTATAGTATAATCATCTGTACTTGGCCACAAAACTTTATAAATAATGTACAATTTATAAATAATACATGTTTGCCAAGATGGTTGAATAAGATTTTGTATTACCATAACATCTTTCTCCAGTAGTAATTCAATATAAAAATGTATAATTCACCACAGTCCATACAAAGCATCTTTCTTGGTATACTTACAAGGTAGCAAACTTGAAAAGATGATCTAAAACAATTCTGGTTTATCTCAAGAGACTTACATGGCCCAGATTTTTTTTAGATTTTTAAGACTAAAGTCTTATTTATTTAGAATTTTATGTGAACAGTGAATGAATACAGTATATTTCAGGCATTAGGTTTTTTTCCAGAGTTATAGGCAACTAAAAGTGTTTTCTTTGAAATAGAGACATTAGATTTTTAAATATTTAAACACTCACCAAGCTAGATAAATCATGGAGACAATAAAGATGAGTAACACAAATGCCCCAGCGGCTACACCGTAAACCCAGGTCCTTAGTCTCCCATCTAAGAGGAATGGATATTAGGCATTAATTTACATTGGTCTGGAATACATATGACAGTCTTTAACTATGACCAATGACCAGTCACATATGACCAATTCAAAACTCAAAATGAATTATTGCTTCAGCACAGTTATTGATTAATGTAAATCTGTATTATGAGTTAGATGCTGCTTTGCTAAAGATAAATTAGCAATGAATGAAATTGAATTGAAAAGTAGCAAATAGTATTTGTGTTCAGATGTCAGGTTTATAYGTCTAAACTTCTGCTGCTTCTTACCTGACTTTTACTTCAGATTCAATGTACGTGCTATTTACATAGACACTGCCTTATGATTTCCCACAAATTTTGAGAATGACACTTATAAGAAAAGATTAAAAATAGTCCAATTTTAAGAAAGTCCCACAATCTACAGTTGATACACACAGGTATTTGAACACTAACTCTGTCATTTTAATGTTTTAGTTACAGATGAAAGTGAATATATTTAACATTTTTTTGTGATTAATTATCTGTCTTGTCTGCATCTACAGTATGTTTTAAAATTGATTTGACAAATATCATTTGCAAAGAATCCATTTTGAATAACATAAAAGTATTTCTATGTTTTACTGCTTCCTTTTCTATTATATGGAATTAGGCATGACAGGATCTTTTCTAATTTGTTTTTCTGGTCGTATTCTCTTTGAACTTCTCAGTTTTATGCTCTGAATAAACTTCAAACACAAGATGCTATTAATGATGTTGCCTAACTTAATTTGATCCCAACATCAACGTATTTTCTGTTGCATGTGTATAATTAAATATATGATATTAGTGTTAAAATTATAGATTGGGCAAATGGACCCCATGGAGACTCTGGTGTATTCAATAGTTGAAAGGCTTCAGAAGAAAATGCATAATGTACAATGTTTTTGGCCTGGAGCTAGACCAACTTAGAGGGTCATTTGCAGAAAAAAAAATCTCGATTAATATTCTAAATATTGTTTCGTTTCAATCCTAAAGATTTTTCCAAAAAAAAAAAAATTTCAGCTGAGTATAGAATCAAAAGAGCATTTCCACTATTGGGTTCCTCTGCCCTGAAAATTCTTCAACAAGTATTTGGGTTTTCATAAAGCAAAGAATTTCTGCCACTTTCCAAGATATGCACCTTTTAAATATATTAACATTCTTATTTTGGAGGGAAATGATATATTAAATTTAAAATAATTACAGTAATATTCTTTAATATTTATTAATATTTCCCCTTTTAAAAAGCGTGGTTTTAATGTGAGAAGACTCTCTTGAAAGTCAAGATTACTTATGGCCATCTGCTAGTCCACATCATGAACACTGAGAGAAGAGTTTACTAAACTTACACAGACAAGTCAGTTTTGCAAAATAAACTGTATTTTTGGCTAAAAGCCTAATTTAAACAGGAATAGTGTAGATAAAATTAATCACAAATACTTAAAATACTTTAATACTGATTCTTCAATAGAGAAGGTATTTTGATTTAATTGATTAGAAATAGCTACGTAAATTCCTTTCTTCCTTTTCTCATGTTCCTATTGGAGCTATAAAGTAGACTATGCCTGGCTGTGCCTGGAGATTTCCTTTGGTTATGAACTAGTGATTCCTTCAGGTTGTGAGAAAAAGTGGCATGATCTTAATATAACGCCTGTGGGACATTTTCAAGCACCAGGTTAGTTCCAGGGCTGAGTGTGTGATTGAATCCAAATGGGGAAAGAAAATGTGCAGAGTAGGAGGAGTAGCACTTTACACCACTTCAGCAGGCCTTCAAGCTTTTACCTGTATGGGCTTCAAGTCCATTAAGAGAGATGTTGAGAGCTATCTATTTAATATGAAAATGGTCTGGTCAGTCATGAAGTTTGAATCTTTCCATCCAGAAGGGAAGGCTCCACCCCTACTCTGGTGTATCTGGTGCTAGTACAGATTCTGAGATTTTTGAGTATGACAACTTTTAGGGCTGATATAAATTGTTGGCTACCAAGTGCCCCTGGCAAAGGACTGCATTACTCAAGTTCCCAGTTAAGATCCTAAGTATTAATTCTTTGTGATCAAATAGAAAATTCTCAAATGTCTATATACTATTATTTGTCACAATTCTGAATGATAGTATACTTTCTCCTAATTCATATTTTCATCACTGTATCTCAATATACAATTAATTATACTTGTAACTTCAAGATTAGGATTGAAATAAGTAATATCAATCCTAAAATTTTTCTCAGAAGAAAGTAATTTCATTTCTGTAAACTTTGGGCATAAGTGACTTCACATATAATAAAAATAAAAATATATGTGACTAGATGGTCATATCAGAATAAATAAAATGAATACCAGAATAAATGAAATAATAATAGCTCATGTTTAGATGAAACAATAATAGCTCATGTGAAAATAATTGTTTATTTAAAAAAATCCTTTGCCACTGGCTAAATGTCTAAATGAAATATTCTGAATCAACACTGTCTACTCATTTCACCTGGCCCAAATGGCTGCAGAAACCAGGTCCTGCCCCGTCCTGCTGGGTTACTGGAGGGCTGGGTTGGATGTACTGCCCGACTGGTTTTCACATCTCCTCTCTTGTCCTCCATGGTGGGTATCACCACCACAGGGATAAGTGTGCATTGCTCGAGTGTGCTGTTAGAAGACATGACCTCAGTGTACCCCTCTTCACAGCGGCATGCCTTTGTCTGCAGGAGAACAAGAAGAGTTCTACTAGGCATGCAAGAGAATCTTTGAAAGCACAACAAACTGTACTTGGAGAGTTTCAAAGAAGGATTGTTCGAGAGATTTCACAATGTAATTTCTGTCTTAAGTACATTTAAAAATCTCTACTTTTGGGGTTTAAATAAAGTTATTCTAAAAGTAGGCACATTCAGAATTATTTACATTGCTTTAAAAAAGCAGTCTAAAAATAGAATTTTTGTATCTTAAGACATGTTTTGGGGAGGAACTACATAGAAGGGTGATAAAGGATGGAGGCAACTTGTGCATCCTCATGAATTCACACATACCTCACTGCAGTATGAATGAGGCTGAGTGCACGGGGGGTTACAAGACCTATCAGCATCAGGCTGGCTCACCACCAAGCAGCCCCCTGCAGGACCAAAAATCATATTTTAGCAAATAGCATTTCTTGCTAAGATAAAAAATACTGTTGTCTTTGAATTTTGAACATTTTTTGGTAATACCTAGGATTTTTCTCTCCATGAAATGTTGGGTTGATCTTTATCATTTTATTTAACAACTTGAAGCCCTTTTTACTCACTCTGGGAGGACAGGGTCTGGCACTTAGTAGCTATTCAATATGTTTGTCAAAAAGATGATTTTATAGCTGCTCTCTTGAAAATACTAGTGGCACACAACCTCCTTCTGTCAACAGTTCCTGAAGCCAAGCTCAACAATTGAAAAGCAAATTTAATTTTCTTTTAAAGTTCAAATTCTTTCTTGGCTATTTGAAATAATATTTTTCAAGTCCCTTGAAATAACTCTTTAAATTATGTGACTACCACATAAATGTATTTTTGATAATGCGTATTTCATTTTGAGAAAAATCATTACTTCTCTTATTGTAGGGTATGGGGGGCATCTTTATGTGTATTATTTCCTTAACTTGATATTGTACCAATTTACTCTTCTTTGTTTTCTAGCACAGTACCAACTGTGCCTGTTGTAAGTGATGTATTAAAGATGGGAATAGATGTCTGAAGTAAATAATAATTGGTTAACAGGAAGGAACCCATAGTTTTAAATTATATTTGTTCATTTTACTAGGATTTTAGCCAAGCAAATTTTTCTTTATTTATGGAATTGATGACCCTCTGGATTTAATCAAAGGTGTCTATTGTTAATGCTTTGTCTTTCTGCATTACAAATACAAAATATTCATGGAAAAATTGTTATGAAAACACAGTTAGCAATTGCAAGGCAATTGGAGTTAAGTGGCCATATAAGTTATTATCATTAAATACATTAAGAAAAGGAAAGAAGTATCTCAAGTTTTTATAGGGACAATTTATAAATTAAAGCAATTGACCCAGATAGGTAATGTACTTTACGGGCTTGTATAGCTCTCCTAAAGAATCTTATCTCGGGCTGGGGATGTGGCTCAAGCGGTAGCGCGCTCGCCTGGCATGCGTGTGGCCCGGGTTCGATCCTCAGCACCACATACCAACAAAGATGTTGTGTCTGCCGAGAACTAAAAAATAAATATTAAAAATTCTCTCTCTCTCTCTCTCTCTCTCCTCTCTCTTTAAAAAAAAAAAGAATCTTATCTCTCCTAAAAGATGAGTTTATCACAAATTATTTGCACTTTGGCTTTTTGGTACTGGACTGCATTAGAAAAAAAATACATTGGACACTATTGTGTTGAAAAGAAATTAAAATATGATTTCTATAAATAAGTCTTTAAAGGTTGACTTTATTCTGCATTGGGGAAATAGTCCCAAATGCAGTGGGAAAAGAGCTTCTTACATGTAATAAAAGGGTAGACAAATATTTGCATCCATATTGGAAAAAATGCAAACTGACAGGACCCTCTGGCGAAACTGTTAAATTCYCTTAGAATAGTTTGAAGAAGAATGTAGACATTAATTTTCAATCTCTGAGTTGAGTGGGTGACCTTTGTACACCTTCTGGTTCAGAAAGCCTATGCTCCCCTACCTAGTGTTCTTTTCATGGTACCCTTCTTCTAATGGGGTTTGGGCAGATTTTTCTCCTCTAAAACAACCCTGTGGAAAAAGCCAAGAGTTTTCTAGTAAAGTGTCTTTTCTTTCTTATACATGTGTCCACTGGGAGATGCTCTTGTCAAGGGTTTCCTGATATAGCTTTCTCATGTGAAAAATCAAGAAAGCAATTTGACATGCTGTTCTAGTTTTCACAGGGAGGAAATAAGTAATTAGGTTTCAATAAATCTGGGTAATTTAAAATTCAATATAAAATTGATGCTTTTCAAGAAGCATATCGATCCCTGCTCCTATTATCTTACCATATATATTAAAGTTAAATTTATAAATGGACATTACTCTGAGGCATCCAAATGCACGAGGAGGGTCAAAACAATAGAAGCCAGTCGGCAGGAGCCCTGAGCAGTTTATTTTCAATACTGCTGCTGCTATGCTATGGAGMTTCCTGTATATTAGATCTATGAAAAGAAATGGTTTAAGGAGAGACATTAGATTTTTGGGTTCACATGTCTGAGGTTGAATCTGGTTCCAAACTTCATTGTTTCTTAGGAAATTCGCAGTGTGATTCACTACGTATCTAGCACCAAAGTTTCTTTCCCTTTTAATGGGTCCTTGGGATCCCTCAAATTTCCTGAGCTTATACAAAGAAACTTTTAGTAACTGCAGCTTAGGGTAGTTCTTTGGAGGTATACTTAGATCAAAATACAATTAAAGTAACTTATTTAGGCTTTCTTCTTTGGAAGTATAATAATTTGGGGGTGGGAACACTAAAGAGGATTTTCAGATGCTCTGAGTTCCAGATTTATCAGCAGGTCTTGACTACTAATTAATAAAAAGTTAAAAGTGATAGATATCTGAATTCAAGCAAGTATGTGGATTTGTATAATCATGCTCCCCTGATAGTATTTTTGGTCTGCATTTATATTAGCTTTAAGACGCACAAGTACAAATAGTACAAAAATGTTTTTTAAAGTAGTAAATTATTAACATAAAATTCTAGTAAAATAAATCTGAAAATACTTATTTAATTAAAATACTATCTAATTCTAATAAATTATTTATATAAGTTCTAGCAGTAATATCTAAAAGGGCTATCTATCAGTGGGAGAGAATATGAAACATCATGAAGTAAAATAATTTGTCATTAGTACCCCATATGTATAGAGTTCAGGCGTACTAATATCAGCCATGKGTTGGAAACTGAAAGATTATTCTTGGATCCTTCCTAATTTCTTTAATCAATTACATTTGTGTTATAAGAATACTTTTAAAGGCAAAGAGAAATTGGAGGTTTACCTGTTACATTTACACCGTCTGACCTTTGACACCAGACTGTTCGGGAAGAGCCCTTCCATGCACTGGCCATCCATTTATACTCATAGCACTGTCCATCTGCAGGGACACAGTAAACATTGACAGGAGTATTCTATTGCCCAGAACAATCGTGGTGACAGAGGGCTAACAAAACTTTCATGAACAGTTGAAAAGGGATAAGAAGTCCATTTCTGAAGAGTCAAATGTCAATTTATTGTCTGGAAATTGCCTTGCAAATATTGTATCAATGTAGTTAGGCACCTAAATCTCAACTAAAATTACATGCCTGCTATCATACCACTTTGTAACTTAATTTTATGGTTTGCTTTTAAAGTATCATGGAATATCAAACATACAGACAGGCATGTAAAATAAATAAAAAATATTCATTTACCTATCATGCGATTCCATTAATATGCCATTTAGTCATGTTTGCTTTTACTTTGCTTGTCAAGGAATAAACGATATAAACTTGATGTCCTATTACAATCCTTCCTGATCCCATGTCTTTCCCTGTCTTAGCAGTGCACTCTCTTCCAAAGTATAGTTATGACTGTGGCATGCTTTTATTTTTTTCTTAAATATCTATGTTCATATGTATTCCCCCAAATGATATATTTTATGCAGTCTTACAATTTCTGTGTTCTATGTATAATCCTAAAACTTATTGGTCAATATTATAGATTATATAGTTCTGTGATTTTTAATGTAAATTGGTCAACTATTTTAATTGTTATTGGAAATTCCATTGTACAAAATACTACAATTTATTCTTCTGCTTCCTCTATTAGGGTGTTTTAAATGCCTTGCTAACCTTATTCAAGTCTATTGATGCTTCTTTAAGATAATATCTAGAAGGGAAATTTATGAATATCACTATATGGACAGCTGAAACTTTATTAAATATTGTTCTTTTTTTCCTCCAAAGGGTGAACATTTATGTACCCACAGATAATAGATAATAATTACTACTGTTGTAAATAGTCATGAAAAGTTATAATACTATATTTAAAAATTTTTGCTAGCCCTTACATATGAAAATATATTTTATCATTTTTAATTGAAATTTTTTGATTACTAAGGCTACTAAATAGTTATAAAAAATTTGGGGGCATTTGGATTTCCTGTAATGGAAATTGTTTATTTATATCTTGCAGCTATTATTATTTTTTTCATCTAGTGACATCTATGTCTTTACTTATTAAATTAAGGGAATTCTTTATTCTAAAATAGTGATTCTCAAAGTCTGGCTCAGGAACCATGGATGACATTATCTATATGATTAATAACAGAAAAGCTCTTTGAAACCCTGAACAATTTTAAGACTATAAATTCTTATGGATCCAAAAGTTTTAGAATTGCTGTCCTAAACATTAATTCTTTCAATTAATTGGCCTCAAAATATTTTTGGCTCATCCTGTTACCTTGTTTATGATCTATTTTACTATGTAGAAGATTTAAATTGCAATTTAATTTTTAATCTTTTTCAATTTTGACTGTGCTTTTAGTGTTATGTTTAAAAAACCCTTCTTGATTTTGAGTTAATAAATATATTTTCCATATTTTCTTTAAATGTTTTGCAGCATTGATCTTTATCTAAAGGTCTATAATTTATTTGGAATACAGTTTTTATATTATGTGTGCTAAATATAGTTTAAAAATATTTTATGGATAACAAATTTTGGCAACACTATTCACCCACTGCTTCTCCATTGACTTTCAGTCTGCCTCTTTCTTACATGTAAACATCCATTTCTGAGATTCTCTATCCTGTTCCACTAATGTGATTGTTTTATTTCTAAGCAATCACTTTGTTTAACTGTCAATGCTTTGGAGTAAACCTTGACATAAGCTATGTAAGTCCCTTGATCTCTTCTCCTACTTTCCTTTCTTAATAAAATGCTGTGCTCTTTTTAGTCTTTAACCTCTCCAAATTAATTTTAGGATCCATTTATTGGGTTACTCTAACAATATGTTCAAATAGCATGGAATTTATAGGTACATTTATGTAAAATTGATGTTGTGATATTGAAACTTTTTATCCATAAAATGGTCTATTTCACCAATGTTTTAGTTCTTTATGCCTTTCAATCAGATTTTATAATTTTATACATATGTTATATCATCTTGTTAATTTATTTATACTTATAGTTTTACTTATATTATTAATATAATTTTTCTGGCTAAAATTTGTAACTGGGTCTTATAGATTAAAGAAAGATTAATTATTTCTATATCTATTTTTTTGGGGGAGAGGGTACGGAGGTTTGAACTCAACGGTACTCAACCATTGAGCCACATCCCCAGTCCTATTTTGTATTTTATTTAGAGACAGGGTCTTACTGAGTTTCTTAGCACCTCACTTTTGCTGAGACTGGCTTTGAACTCTGATCCTCCTGTGTCAGCCTCCGGAGCTGCTTGGGATTACAGACATGTGCCACTGTTCCTAGCTTGTATATCTGTTTTTAAAACATATAATGTTCCTGAACTCTCTTATTTCCAAATACTTATTTATTGATAAGTAACAGACAGACATGAGTGATGGGAACAAGAGGTTAAAGGGATAATTGTATAAATTAGGCCTACTGTGCTGAACCCTACCATGTTTTCTTTTAAAAAGCAATTTACCTGCTGCTCTGGGTGGCTTTAATCAATAGGATATGCTACATTCCTCACCAAACAACCTGTTATTTGCATAAGAAAAACAGGCCCCAAAGGCTCCTCCTGGTCTATATGAAGAACATGAGTTACTGTAAAGCAGAGCTGGGAGAAAAATAAAATGTTGAGACCTTTACACAGACTACATTCCAWGACTCCATGATAATATTATCATTATTAATAATTATTATCATTATTAATTAATATTTAATATCATTATTTAACATTAAAATTAWAATATATTATTTAATATTATATCATCAAATAATTAATGAATAATTTAATATTATATTATTTAATATTAAAATTTATAATATAATAATATTAAAATGATATTAAAATTTAATATCATTATTAATTAATAATTATCATTAATAATAATAATTAATTATTACTAAATTCCCTTAACCATAAAACCTATAAGAATGAGTTTCATATAGGACTGGTCATCATGGTAGCATGAGTCAAAGTGACCCCAGAGTTACCTTGGATCCTCAGCATGCCATTATAACGGTAAAATCTCCCCTCCATGGGGTAAGACCATTATTCATAGTGGGAACTCAGAAGTCTGAGGTGATCTTGTCAGTCAAAAGCCAAAAGGTAGACCTGAGTAGGACTTTCTGGAAACTCCCCTGGAAACCCCAATACAATTGGACCAGAGGGGTGCACCATCCCTCTCCTATCTGAGAGGACCCACTCTTTCCCTTGAGTGAGTTCCCCTTTTCTCTTTTMCTATCCCTTCTAATAAACTCATGTGTGCTCCTCTGAGTAACCTGTCTGAGATCTTCCTGGCATGATAGCAAGAACTAGCGATTGAGGACATCTGCAGTCACTTCTATTTACAGATGACCTTGTTTTGCAATGTTTATAAATTACCTTGAATGTAGAAAATTTTTTCTTCTAGTTCAAGTTTGGTTTAAAAGTTTTTATTGTAAATTATTGAATTATATAGTTTTCCATTAAGCATTAAAAAATAAAACCCTATTTGTTTCTGTTAATGAGTAGAATTATATTAGTAGATGTTTCTAATATTTATGTATCTTTGTATTTACAGAATTAATTATAATTTGTCATGATGTTAATTATCTATTAAATACATTATGATTTGGTTAACTAATATTTTATGATTTAGAAATTTATTTTCACTAGGTAGTTTTATTTCATTGACTGGTTTTACTGTAAAAATTACACTATCTTGGCAGTTAGGGAAACTTWACTTGTTTTCCCCACTTGATTTGATTTTATGTACTTTAGATTTCAAAAAAGTAAGAGTTAACATTCTCTATTTCTTTATATTTTGATAAAATTTATAATTAAACCTATTAAAGTTTTAGATTGTGAATACATACAAGTATATATTTGATAGATTTAAATTTTTAATAATTATAGATTTCATGGTGTAGCCTTTTTATTGCTCTTGATAAATTATAACATTGTAAGTTATTTTCATTTAAGTTTTACATTCATTAGCAAAAACTATTTATAGAATAAGATTTTCTAAGCTCTTTTCTATTTGCAGTAGTATCAACTTTGCTTTTTTTTTCTTATTGATTTATTGTGAGGTGATCTACTTTGTTAACTTGGTCAGAATCAAGCTATTGGATTTGTGAATTATTTTTTGTTTGTTTTGTATCTCATTTTATTTGTACTTGTGTTGGTTGAATTTTATTTCCTTTTTTTTCTTTTTAAAAATGAAACTTCTTGAGACGAAACCTTGTGTACTTTTAGCTTTTCCTTCTCCTATGTCAGCATTTAAGGCTGTAAGTTCTCTAAGTACTTTGCTGCATCTCACATGTTTGACATATAATACCCTAAAAGTGTGGTTTTCAGGTTTTACCTTTGGGTGTATATGAAGAGATTTCTTGTCCAATTGTTGTGTTATTGATTTCTAATTTTATTGTACTGTAATTGGGCATAAACAATTTTTTTTCTTGCCTTGGGAGTTGTTCAATTTATTGTAGGCCCTTAGCTTGTTCTACTTCTCTATTTACCCTAATTTACCAATCAGATAAGATGCTTCTTATCTGATTGGTAAATTAGGAAGATTAAAGAGACAGGGTAGGTAATTTTATCTAATCCTTGGTTTATATCATCTTGCTCATTTATTTTTCATTTTGAGTGTTCTTATCCAAGAACACTTCTAAGCTTTCTCCTTCAACTTTTAATGTAACAATGATATTTTGAACCCTATTTGCTTTTTTGTTATATTTTTAAATTGTTTCAGGACACAAGTAGGAATAACATGGTTGTTGAGCACTGCAYTCTCCTCTAGATTACAATTCTTTTGCTTCAATGATATTTTAATGCTTTGTGGTTCTTGAATATGTCAGAATATGTCATGTATTGCCAACATGAAGTGAATTATTCTGTTTGTGTATATATAAATATATATAGACACATAAAGTAATAGGTATTTATATATTCTATGTCAAATTATATTAAAATTAACATCTGATCAACAATTTGATCCATTAATTTCTGAGAAAATAGTAACATCTCTCATTTAGCTATGAATTTATAATTTTTCTTTAATTTTGTCATTTGATTTAAGTAAATGGAAAGATAATGTTAGATTTATGAATGATCATTATTGTTATAAGTGTACAAACAATATGCTTTGAATTATCTTAGCCTTCTTTAGCTCTAAATCTGGGAAGAATTTTTATGATATTTCACATTAATCAGGGAGACAGGATTTTTCCTTTCTCTAAATCTTTATAATTCAGAATCTTACTCTTCATTTATTTCTCAGTCTTAAGGGTAATCACAGCCAATTTTCTTACTTAAGAGAAAACTCCTTATCTTATGCTTTTGCTTATCAACACAGAACTCAAATAATTAGGCTTTATTAATTGCAGCTCTTACCATCGCATGATTTTGTTTCTAACATCTGCTCTGGGCACAGATGTTGATTCTCCAGTTCTTGTATAATCACTGCTCTGGATCGGACCTGTATTCCACCAAAGCCTAGGTCTTCACCATTCACACAGGTCAGCTGACACAGGCTCCATGGAGACCAGTCCTTCAAGTAACAGTCACCTGTAAAACACAGGTTTATAGTTTACACTTACACATATAAAGAATAGCCCGCCTGATGATCATTTTGATTTGTTTTRATTTTTAAAAGTTTTTTGATCATTTAATTCTAACCCCACATGGCAATGTTTGTAGGTATACTAGTCATATATAATATTTATAAGATGGATAAGCATCTAATAGTTGTAACTTTACATGTAATTTTGAGTTTGTATAAATATTGTCATTTTCAGAGTGACTATTATGGAACTATTTGTTGCTTAATGATATAAAATAGAAACTAGGTTTGAAGGAACTTGACCATTATGATCATCTCCTAACAGAACAAATATTTGGTTAAAATCTACCATCACTCTTGTCATTATCATTATGAAGGGGTTTATTTAAATCACTGACACATAGAACTTGGCTTCTAGGTGTTAATAATTTCAAAGGGGTATACAGTTTATTATTGAAAACAGTCTAAGCAGTCTAAAACAGTCTATGACTATTTTATCTATACTTCTTCCCAGAGAGGTTGAGACAAGACAGCAAATTGAGCAGCTATAGCTGTGGAAATGATGTATACTCTTTTCTCTGATCTACGTCTTTAATTGGTTTTACCCTCCTCTTTTTTCAAATATCTATTGAAGAACAATAAGTAATATATACAAAATGATCAGAGATCATGAATGCACAGATAGCTGAATTTTCACAATTGATTACATATGCATGTGATCAATATTAATCAAGGAACAGAGCATTCCCAGAGTCTCAGAATGCCTGTCATGTCATGTATAAAGTCATGCCATTATGTACTATTTTCTGTGTTTGGCTTYTTTTACTCATTTATAGATCAACCATGTATTTATGTGGTTCTAATTTGATTTTTTGTTACTGCTATACTTTGTTCCATTATGTGCATATACCTGATTTAGATATCCATGCTACTATAGATTAGCATGTGGGGAGTCATAAATTTTTCCCATTATAAATAATGCTGTCATAAATATTTTAGTGAAAGCCTTTGATGAACACATACACATATGTATGTGTGTATATATATGTGTGTGTGTATATGTGTGTGTGTGTATAAATGTATGTATTTCTATTGGACATATAAATAAGAGCGGAATTGCTCAATCATAGTATCCATGTATTAAAAATATTTTACCATTTTGGGAATAGGGAAGATTTAATAAAATATGCCTTCCTCATATTCCCATCCATTCTTCAGGATGATGGCTTGGTGATAGTCTTTAGAATATACAGTTATTTATGACAGACACAAATCCAGAGGGGCTTCATATCACTTTAATTATTCCAGTTATAAAATATGACTACTTCATATTTCCTTATATTATACTATAGGTAACTAAGATTAGAACAAAGTTACCTGGAGATCTGATTAATGGAAAAACTTCTTATGTCATGATTAAGAAATCCTAAAAATACATGAATTATTGACCAAAAGATAAATGTATTACAGAAGAGTAATTTCTTGTAGATCTTTATTAGAGAACATTATCAGTACTCCTAAAGGACAAAAAGTCAAGTAAATTTTGGAAATGCTAAAGAAAAAGAAACTAGAAACAATTTTAAAGTAGTCTAAGAACGTTTTAGAAATACCCCTAGGAAATGCACATTTGGGTTACTTGATTTTTAATTATGCAGGAAAAACTTCTAAGGTTTAAATTAAAAAAAAAACCCTTTCTATAAATAAAGCATAATTTCATCTTAGAGACAGCAAACTACATGGAAATATACCTTAAGAAAATCCTCAATAAATGTTCTAACAGTAGATTGAATTATGTAATTATCATCTCCAAATAACCCATATCAAGAGCCGAATATTTAATAATAGCAGATGAGAGTGAGGCATTCTCTTCTACTGGACATACTTTTCTATTTTGAACATGGAAATTATTGATATAAAATAATAAAATTAAAATACACCTGCCAAAGTTATGACAACAAAATACATGAAATATATTTGCTAATTCAGTATTATACTGTTTAAATAGTTCACATAGTGCTAGCTTTCAAATGCCATCTTTAGAGAAAACTGGCAAGAAAGGACTTTGAGTGAACAGATTGCAATGTATAAGAGCAGTCATCTTCTGGATTGTGATTACTTTATTTAAAATGGTATGTTTGCTCTGTTCTATGTTATCATAGGATCCTGTAGGTTTCTTTCATATAATTTGCCACAGATTATAATCATATGTTTATTTGTGTCACTATTAGGAACTTTTTCTTCCATTAGAAGGTGAGCTCTGTGAGCCCGATGTTGCTTGTCTCCCTCCACAAGTGCATTCCCTGACCTGCAATTACACCTGACATGTAAAAGTCAAATGAGTCGTGATTGTGCTGTGGGAAGCCATGGAAATGCATGGTGAGTCTCCACAGCTTGTTGCACACCCCGGTGAAGATGCCAGTTCAGCACGATAAGGTAGATTTCACAATAATCCTATTACGAATGCTGGACATTTTGGTTTTGGAATTGATAGGACTTCCACCTTTCAACCTTGGCCACTTTTTGTTGACTATATGGTCATCCAGCCCATCGAACTTCAAAGATTCAGTCGGTGGCCCTGCTACAGAGCCCTCACCCTAAGCCACAGCCTCAGTCTTGGTCTTCTGTGAAGCACAATGATATTATGTTTGATTGTGAGTGAGATCTTGGTTGAGATAAGGACAGCTTCAGGGACAGGAAATGGAACAGGGGAATTTCTACAAGAGCAAAAGGTATATCCAAGTGTGGGCATATCAAGAAGCAACACCTTGCCATGCTCTATAAAGTCAGACTTTATTTAACCATTCTTAACTGTGAGAACATTTTTCATGACATCTATCTTAAAACAAATTTAAGGGCATCATATAGTATTGTTAACTACAGGCACAGTGTTGTACAGCAGACTGCTAGAATTTATTTTTTACTTATTTTTTGAAAGAGAGAGAGAGAGAGAGAGAGAGAGAGAGAGAGAGAGAGAGAGAGAGAGAATTTTTTTAATATTTATTTTTTAGTTTTCGGTGGACACAACATCTTTATTTTATTTTTAGGTGGTGCTGAGGACTGAACCCAATGCCCTGCGCATGCCAGGCGAGCGCGTTACCGCTTGAGCCACATCCCCAGCCCAATTTATTTATTTTTAATAACTGAAATTTTCTGTTCATTAAATAGGAGTTGCTCTTTAGATTTTGTAACTCAAACAAAATTATTATTTTATTTTCTAACCTGAAATAAATGAAAATATTTGTGTGGGCAAAGATCATTACAACAGTTGAATGACCTCAGAGTCTAATGCATAGTTCTAAGTATTGAGTATTTCATTTTCTACCCTGTTCAGTTTTATTCAGTTAATCACATTGTGATAATAATGAGTAATATACTACCATTACTGTCATCTCAAATAATTTACTTACTAAAAAATGAGTAAATTGAATAAATGGATGAGTATCTAACATTGTCACTGTTTCCAGTTTTTAGGAACCCCACCTCAATTAAAAAAAAAWTTAAAGATAAGTTTTCTTTTAAAATTACCATAATTTATCTTTTTATATAGAAAATGTTTTATGCCCAACCATTATTTTTTTTTTGCCAAATACTTACTTTAATTTTTTAAAGAATAAATTTTTTATAGAAATATATATTCTTATAAGAAAATCAGAAGAACAAAAAGTTTCCATTAGAGAATAAAATATAGGTAATTCATTTCTACTCTGTTCAGAAACTGTTGCCTCAATATCTTTCCCAAAGATGGCTTTACTAGCATATTCTGACCTAAAATATCCTGAACAATTCTCTTCATCAAGCCCAAATTCCTAAAAATGAGCTCATCTTGCCTTTCATCTTTTCCCTATGCTATTCAATATACAACTATGCTATTTGCTATACAACATTTTATATCATGCAACCATTGTCTAACATTGAATCTGAATGAAGCAATTCAATATTTTCTTCCATAATCTTATTTTGCTTTCCAGTATCAAGAAAACTGCATTTTTTTTCTTTTGAATCCTTACTGATTCTCTATTTTTCTGCATTTTATGTTTTAACTACAGCATAAGGAGGAGGTCTGAATTGTTGTTGATTCCACCCAGGACTCAAAATAAGCTTTCATTATGAGGGTTTAAATCTTTCATTAGACATTTTGTCTTCCAACATTGCCTCTCCCTCACTCTCTATTCTCTCCTCCTGTAAATCCCAAATAGACATGTTTAATCCTTATTTTCTCAACTTTTATTTCATGCTTTCCCTGTTAAGCATAGGCCTTAGACCTTAGTCACCATCCCCTGCTAAAACTCCACAGGGGTATTAAGAGAAGCCACATGGAAGACTGGACTTCACCTACAATCAGGAATGAGGCCTGCCCCAATTCACCCACAGCAGCAGTGTCTGGCTCTTAGGTATTATTGAATTATACTACTGGCACWTCTTAACTTATCCCATATATGCAACCCTGTCTTGACCCTGGTCCTGGAAAGAAACCATCCAAATATGAATTTTGTTCTGCTCTTGTTACCTGGGCAAGGCTGGGTACAGGTTTCCTCCAGGATCATTTTTTTACTACCATCTACAGTGGGTTCAATGTCAGCACAGAATTCCTCATCTACCACTTTGCCGAAGTCATCAGATGACCCATCGCTCACTACACAAGAAATGTTCCTTGTTCTGGTCCCTTCTCCACACTGGGCCTCCTGGAATGGAGAAAGAACTAATTACAAAAAGAAAAATAATTCATTAGAGAACTCATCCTTTATAGTCATCTCTGCATCATTGATTTTGATTTATGAATACTTAGAGAAGCATTTGAAACCCTAGGGAAGAAGCCTTCCAGGGCACAAGCTATAAAGCAATACTCTGAACATTTATTTTGTTTTACAGCCAAAGACAGGCAAATACATTCTCATTAAAATGAATCAGTCTCCACATGATTTTGAAAGTACAGAACAGGGAGTGTTGGTTATCAAAAGTTCTTAAATGATTATAAAATGTCAAAGTAACTAATATCATTAAGATGAAACCTACAATCTGTAAGGTCTGAAGAATGCTTCTGAAACCAAATTTCTGCAGATGAAGAATAYACACTTTCATACAATTTCTTGAGATTTTATACCTGCACTTGGCATGGGGACCACTGGCCGTATTGCCACCGATAACAGGGCTTCACTGGGCAAGGCTTGGACTGTTCCATCAGGGAAGGGCATGGTCTTCCATCACCCTGAAAGGGCTGGGTCACAGTTCGTCTTCGGATCATTTTTCCTGTAAGAAATACAAAGCAATTCAACTTGAGTGGCATGTAGAATTGTGCAAGCATAATACCTTACTGGGAGAAGGTATCCCACAGGCTTCTCCCTGAGATCTAGGAACAAGCAAGTCTTGTATGTTTTGAAAAGAAAGACAACCAAACCAACCTTTCTGAAGATTATGTAATATGATTTAAAGCAAGAGGGGCATTTTGTTTTTATATACCTTGACCACTAGTCTAATGCTAACTGCCATACCAACAAACCTGTGAGTCCACATGTTTGAGAACATTCTGACCAAGGAGACCAGTCTGAAAGCTGACAGTTCACAGGGCATTCCACCATGCAGGATATGTTCATCTGCCAGTGCTTCTCCAGGGCAAGCTGAAAGAAGAGAGGTAGATCCGTTTGTACTGACACAGAGGCATGGCCACAGCCTATTGTCAGCAGGGGAAGCAAGTGAGAAAGGAGAAGGGAGGAGAGGAAGAGAAGGGAGAACAAGCATGCTTCATAATAGAACAACAAGATATCTGGAAGACAAATATCCAAACTATAAAAGTATAAAATGGTTCAACCCAGGAGAGTGGAAGTCAAGGATGAATGGAAGGGACCAATGACTATATTTTATGTTTTATGTATGTGAGAACATTTTCAATAAGCAATGAAGAAAAGTGCATTTAATCATAATTGGTTGAATTTTTCTAAATTAGGAATAATTAAGTGTAAACATAATTACTTTCTATTTAAAAACCAAGAATATGATCAATATCTAGATCTATAATTATATATTCAGGATATTATTATTTTTATTTTTACATGTACATGTACATGTACATGTTAAACTGAAAAGCAAAAGGAAAATACTTTAAAGATAAATTGCCATTCATAACTAATGATATAATGTATTGAGATAATATGAAACATCAGTTTTGGGACTCAGATCCCAATAGCTCAATTGTAGAGCATCTATCCAGCATTCTTACAGCCCTAGAGTTCAATTTCCAGTACAAAAAAAAAAGTCAATTCTTAAGTAAGCTACCTTTTTCCTAAGAGAAATGAGGGTCCTTAGAACTTTATGATTCTAAATGTTTAATATTCACTTTTAAAAAAAAAACAAACAAATAAAGTTTCTCTCTACTAAAACTGATCTCATGAACTAACTGGCATGATTCAGTGATTTTGGTGTTAAGCCTCTCATCAGATAATAACATTGTACAATTTATTGGCATGTTACTTATCATTTCCAAATTCTACTTTAAAAATATAATGTAGAAACTTCAAGTTCATCTCCTGTATATTCCAACATTTAAAAAGTCTAAAGTCAAAAGTAGAATTGAAATAGGAAAATTTAAGTTTGGTAGGAGAATAACAATTTTTTAATTGTTAATTCTTGAAATTTTTCAAGATCTTTTTTATTTCTGCATGAAAGAGATGTTTCTATTTTTTTACTTTAAAGAGTCAAAGAAGATAGCAAAAGAAAATTTTCTGAAACATGCTATATTTCAGTCTAGCTCTTAACCCTAAGTATACACTGAGAAAGGATTAGATCCATGCTTGGTGTACTACTCCCCTTGGTAGGCACTTTTATTATATTTTACACTAAAAATAGCTGATAGAGCCGAGTGTCTGGGATGAAAACTTTTACTATATTGCCTAGTTTAAGCTTCAGAAAGTCACTGGTGGTGTATCTCTACATGAACCTAGGAGAGTTATGTCCAATTCATTCCACCATCTTTATTATTCCTATTCCTTTCCCTTTCCTTCATTACCCTTTGTCTCATCCACTGAACTTCTATTCCCCTCCCCTCTGTGCATTATTGCATATCAGAAAGAACATTTAACCTTTGGTGTTTTGGGACAGGCTTATTTCACTTAGTATGATAATCTCCAGATGCATCCATTTACTGGCAAAAGTCAAAAAGTCATTCTTTTTTATGGCTGAGTATTGTGTCTTTTTATTCTCTTCTTTAACTACGTAGCTACCTACATTCTATCAATCATCTATCCACCTGTCTATGTAAACATATAAGCCTAAGTAAATTGAAATAAACCTATCTGGGGTTCAAAGAATAGGAAATGAGAAACTGGTTACTAGGTATAAGGTGAGTAAATATCTCACATACACACACATAAATGCTAGGTGTGTTTAACCCTAATTTTCCTCTTTGTTGGGCAGTAATAACACCTTTCTCTATGGCCATTAGAGAAGCAGTAAGCATTACCCACTGCTGTTGCACTGAATGTAGGGTTTGCACATGAATTAGTAGGTAGGCAATCTGCCCATTGTTCACACAAATGGCCCAGTTTTTCTTGGAGACTACTGCATCCAACAGGGATGAATAAAATGGGATGTAAGCTGTTAAACCTAATTCCCACAGAGAGGAGCAGTGAAGACAGTGTTTGGCGGAATGTTAGGATTTTAACTCCCTAATTGTCACTTCAGCATTCAAATATAATATTTTCATTTAATCTTGGCTCTAAAATAATTAGTTATTTCATAGATTTTTACTCGTATTTCACTTTAGAAAACAAGGATCCTATTGATGTCACTCTATCCTTTAGCCAAATGAAATAGTTTAAAATTGGTCTTTTGAGATTTGGGTTCAGTTTTCAAAAATCTGTCAGAGCTATTCATTTTATATTACATTCTGATCCAGGAGGGCATCTCTGGGTACATTTGCAAAACAGGCCATATTAATCAACTAGAGGTAGAATGCAGAGAGCTCTCCAGCCATTATCTAACTATAATAATCTTCATTCATAACAATGTTCTTTTTATAATGTTTATGATGCTTCTACATTATTAGTATCAAAACTGAAATGATTTCAATTTGAAATTCAAATTATTTGAATCTAAGGTATGAATAGCCCAAGTTCTGTTGTAAGAGTATGTGAAAAAATGTATCTAAACAGCTTGGTGTTTCAGCACATTTGAGAGTTCTGCTTCATGGGCAGAGATGTAAGTAAGTTAAGGTAGGTGCACATGATAAAGAAATTAAATGGATTCAAGTATTTCTATCCATTTTTTCCCCTTGGGAATTGGAACAACTTACTATGGATTTATAATAAAGTGCAGACAGAATTCTGTGGTGAGCTAGTCTGCTGAGATCTTAATGAGGTTACAAGTTCCTCCTATCTCAGATCTACTGAGGCTCCTGCTGGTTTTGCCTTGAGCTTGACCCATAGGACCTCAGAGGCAGAGGAGTCAAACTTGTTAGAAATGTGATTGCTTTTTTGGTGTGGAAATTGGAAAAAAAAATATTACAACAGGACTAAGAGAGGTCAACAACTGTTATTTCCTCACATTTCAGAATGTTATCCCTAGCAATGATGACATTATTTTCCATCAATTAGAGAACCTACAGTTAAAATTCTCTGTACCTGAAAGACGGTAATAGCAGACCCCATTTCTTTGTTTGAATTTCAAACTCACTTATCCAGATCTGAGAACTTGGACTCTCACAGCTGGGTATCAGATCCTAATATCAAAATCTGCTGCCAAACCACATGGGATCAATGTTTAACAACAGAGAGAATAAATGATGGATTTTGGCAGGTGTCCCAGGCAGTACACAAAATTCACATCAAATTACAAAAGATGATGAGTAGTCTGATTAAGATTAATTGCCTTTATTCACCTTGATTACTTATTGTTTCCCAAGCATTTCTTTCAGAATAGGCTAATTAGCATACCTTTGGGCTCCAAACAGAACAAAACCCAGGAAATTATATGTGAAAATCACTAGTGTTGGATACTGTCTCTTTTCAAGAGGGTACTAAACAGCTTGTGAATAGTACAGATAAACATCTGTTGGCAATGAGCTGCCTGGAGCACAGGTCACTAGGCTCAAAATGAATTGAAATTATCAGGGAGAAATTTACGTGCAAAGATCAAACACAGTATCCACCCACCTCTTCGCAATATTTCAGGTCAACTGACTTGCCATCACTTCGAACACAATCCAACATCCTTGTTTTAATGCCATTTCCACAAACTGCCTTCTCACTCAGATGACACGTACTCCAGTCTGAAAGGAAAGGAGCCCATCAGAACAGAAGGCTATGCATGAAACAGATTTCAAATGAAACTCTGATGACCTGAATCCCATACTTAATTCACAACTGCCTCCTAAGCTCCACAATCAATCATGCCACATGCAGAGCATATGGGTCCCAGCTTTGCACATATCAGGAGTCAAATGGAATTGCTGGGGTTGCACATTGCTGTGGGGATTATTCTTCAAGGCAGATGTCTACTTGACAATCTTGATAGCTAGCCGTTTGGTTTGATGTTGTAAAAATGCCTTTGGCCTACTGATCAATGTCACTTAAAAATGTTGTTTTTTTTTCCCCTAATACAAATAACATTTAAAATTTTAGCATTATTTTTATTTTAGCAACATTATAATTTTAATGGATTGTACTTTGTATAGGTATATTCATATAAAACACTATGCAATTTCACTTGTTGTCCATACTTAGAATAATTTAAAATATAAACTTATTTATTTAAAAAATCATTTGGGGCATATATGCTTAATTCTCTCATTTTATAATTAATTGAAAAATAATTCTGTCACTTTTCCCCCCCAGGCTAACATGGTATGTATGTCCCAGAGAACTTTGATCGTCTTTGTGTTATAAAGGAAATTGAAAATGAAAATCAAAAGAAACAAAGAGCCAATATGACAGCTATGTGTTATGGTAAGATTTCTTGAGGATTTCAGTGTGGAAATTATCCAGGAAAAATTCCAAAATTAGCTTTGATGTTGTTCCAAATCATATGAACCAATGAAATATTTTCTGCATATATGTGTCTTGATGATATTAAATGAATTTGAGGGAAAATGAAATTTATAATGCCTATTTTTCTGAAAAACATTCATCTATTTCTCTACTTTTTGACAATGCTAATTTATATTCTTTGGCCAGGTTAAGACTGATGACATTTTTATATAAAACTAATTATGTTTATAAATGATCCACATACCCCAAGAATTGTTGCTGCAGTTAATTATAGCAATTAAACATCTTTTGCAAAAGAAACACATCTTTTAATGCATCTGATATCTGTGCTAAAAATATTTCTTTTAATTACACCTTCCCACAGTGGGAGGATGTATTAAATAAGATGGCTTAGAATATTCACAACCTACTTTATGGGCCAAGGTCTATGTGATATTTTTATTCTCTATATCTTAATGYCTACTAAAAAATAAAACAGATACATCTTTCTATCATTTAACAACTAATTATTTCTGGGAGATAAGTTGACATCCAAGAGGCACACAGATGGACATGACCTACACTGACTGGCATGCCTCTGAGTTGGCAGAGGGATTTGGCCTTTTGTTCCATGGTGAGGTGGCTACCCCGTACCTGTTACATTATAATCATAGTGGTAGCAGTTCTTGTTCAGGTTGCAGGCTTCCTTCTCCACAGCATTTGGGCAGGATCTTCCTTCATCAGCAGGTTGTCTGATGGGATCTGCTGACCTTTGGCGGAAGCTGCTTTGATTGCAAGGCTTACAAAGAACAACAGGACTCCTCAGAATGGTGAACTCTCAGGCACAGGACAGATAGCACATTAGGGAGCACACTGGGGCATGAGAACATTTGGGACACTGGCTAACTTGAACAAATCAGTTAATCTCATTATGCTTCAGTTTTCCACGTAAAAATGAAAGTTTTGGTTGCGTTTCTGAAGTTCCATCTAGCTGTAAGATGCTTAAGATTCTATGTGTCAAATACTGATAACATATTCCAAACACATGAATATGCTCACATTTATTAATCCAGAATGCTAATATCATACACACACATAAATTTCTGTACACACACATACACACACACACACACACACACACTTCTTGAAGAAATACTTTAAGGACAACTTTATCTAGAAATCATTGGCTTTTGTTTTCCTAACGCATGCATATACATGCACACAAATGCAATTTAGCTTCTATAAAGACTGGCTTGCAATTCTACGGACTGGTACAGTCTTCTGAAAACATTTGATTTCTAAGAATAGGAAGATGCTAAGGACAAGTTTCCTTGGATTGCTTTAGGCCAAAATGAATTGCTTTCTCCTCCTCTGCTCCCATTGTATTTGGCAGCACCACTGTTTGTATACAATGTGTGTGTGTGTCCTGTGTACATTAAGACATCTTCATCTTATTTACCTATGCATTCTCTATACCTAACATAGTTTGTCAGAGACGGCAATGGTTAATCAGTGTTTGCTTAACATAGGCCTTCATGATGGAACAAGATACATTAAAAATATAAAACCCAAGACACACAGCTATTCAACTAGTTGAATTTTATTCTCATTTCAAACATCTATTGGCATAATCTCAGGAACATAACATGTTTTGCTAACTCTCTTTTACATATGGTCACTTSGTCACTTAAAATAGAAACCAAATGGACATAGTTAACAGTTCAAGTGTTCCTGCAGTTAGAATCTCTGTTAATGAGTTTAAGAAGCAGTCAAGGTTCAACATTCCCTATTTTGTAAAATGGAATCTTTTTTCAATAAGATCTGTGACAATAAGAACCTCACAATTATAGACACAGTGACACTGTAGCAGGTAATCCAGGTATTTGGCATAACTTCATATCTAATGCTATAGAATTGTTATGATTTGGATGTGCGGTGTCCATGTGCAGTGTCCAAGTTCTACATGTGAGACAATGTAAGAAGGTTCAGAGGARAAATGATTGGGTTGTGAGAGTCTTCACCCAATCAGTTAATTAATTCTCTGATAGGGATTAACTGAGTGGTAACTGAAGTGGTAGGGTGTGGCTGGAGGATGTAGGAATTGGGGGCATGGCTTAGAGGTATATATTTGTATCTGGCAAGTGGAGACCTCTCTCTCTTCTTCTTGGTCATCATGTGAGCTGCTTCCCTCCACTACACTCTTCTGCCATGATGTACTGCCTCACTTTGAGCCCAAAGGAATGGAACCAGCCTTTTATAGGCTAAGACCTCTGAAATTGTGAGCCCTCAAATAAACTTTTCCTCCTCTATAATTGTGCTGGTTGGGTCTTTTATTCACAGCAGTGAAATTGCTAACTAAAGCAAGAATTAAAGGGGAAATTAATTTGTGTACTTTTGTAAAAAAGAGTTGATTCTTGATTGTACTTTAACTGTACTGAAGTCAACTGTTTGCTGCTGCTGTATAAGTTGGTTATCTATCAGCATCTTGAATAATCTTAACACTGAGATGGAAAATCAATTTCTCTTTGAAAATCATGCACTAATAATTTTCTATATTACTGTATTTCAATAAATTAATTCCACATTGATGTAAGAAGGTTCAGAGGAGAAATGATTGGGTTGTGAGAGTCACAAAACCTTTCCCTTGGTTTTGATGCTAGTTTTGAATGATACAGCTATACAAAGGTACCCAAGGATAAGCCAGGTTTCCTATCTAAGTAGCCAATGCAGTTTAAAATGACTCCCCTCCTGGAGTACCATGGTAGAGCCCCTATGGCTATTGAAACCCAGGAGCTTGTATGATTTGGAACTCTCAGCTGGCTTTCCAAACACAAAGAGACACAGACTCAGTGTGTGGAAGAGACTCATTGATATGTAGCTTTCTTCTTTCTACTCAGTTTCTTACCAGGATCTTTTGCTTTTTAGTGTTAAAACTGCTGTAGTACTCCAATTATGTGAACAATTATTCCTATGATTTAAATAAAATGGACTGGGCAAAAAGCAAAAAGTGGCAGTAAACTGACACCATTAAACTACCTTTCTAAGAGCTTCATTCTTTTCCCCTTTTACTAACAGGAATCATTATCACCATCTTATCTTTTAACAGGCTATGCATTTGTAAGCAAACTGAAAGCATGGAGTGCTGAGAGAGAAAGTTGGGTCTAGAAGGAGCAGGGACTTGCAAGAGGTGGAGCTGTTTTAGTGAAAGAGGAAGTACTGCTGACCTTTTATAGCACAGTTATACAGTGAAGTGGCCAAGAAAACACACCTTGCTTTGGTAAACATGGCACACAATTTTTTTTTATGCTGTCGTTATTATTGTTTTCTTAATATTTTTAAAGCTCTAGTGTTAAGGGATTAAACAAATTCTATTTTAATAATATAATGGATCATCTTACCAAAGCACAACGGGTCCAYGGACCCCATTCAGATATTACACAGTCCTCAGGGCAAGGTAATTTGCACTCTCTGGAACCCAGAGGCATCTCTTCTGGGTCACAGAGGTAATCCTCCACGTGTTCAGAAGGGCCATCTGCTGTATTCTGCATGCATCTAGAAGAAAATGTATAAGTGAAGAAACCAGTGCAATTAGATAATGGCTAACCTAGGGGACAGATGGGATTCTTGAAGACATCATCATGGGGCAGGAAGTTTTGTATTTAATGAGTCACATTCTCCAAAACTGAAGACTTAAGAGGATCTCTGCCGCCCCAAATGTTGTAGTACTTCTGCATAATTAAAAAATATATGGAAGAAGTTACAATTTTGGTATATCAATAAAAATAATGGATTCTATAGAGAAGGTGGAACTCATTCTATATGCAGGACTAGGCACGTGGCAAATCTATACAAGAGGTTTCATGATATGTTTTCAAAGATAACTAGAGGCATTTATCAATTTGTTTTGTCATTCTAAAAGTAATTTTAGCCTCCCATCTGCTGCTAACCTGAAAAGAAAGCCAGAAGAGAAAGGACAATTATAATTGTAAAAGCACAAATTCCCTAAATCTGGTTATTTGGATCTTCCTGTGTCTTGATATATTTTTAAATTGTTAGTTTTCTTTTTAACAAAACAAATTCAAATCTTTTATTCCATTTTATTCTACTGCAAGCATTCATGTAGGGTTCTTTACTCTTGGGAATGTGTCTTCATTTCTACATAGTTAATAATCTCTCTGTCCATTTTAGTAATGGAAGGGAAAATCGTTCTCTCTCATCTATAACTTGGAAAAGGTCAACCAAATTAATGGGTTTGGAAAAAGAACTGCATCAGAGGAGACGAAAAGGAAGACTTGAGCTCTTAAGCCTCTCAGCCCACTGCAATGTGTTAAGCTGTCCATTGAGTTACATCACAAATTATACCTTGAATCCAAACTTTTCCTAGGGATTTACAACCAGTAGGAACATTGCATCTTCACAAATCTGCTTTGCAGAATCACTTTTAGATAGACTGCTGCCAAATTTAAGAGAAATGTCCTTTCGTTCTGGGGTTTATTCAAGGACTGTAAAACTGTCATTGGTCATGTCTTAACCGAGTTTGTATCCTAAAAAATATCCATAAAACACCAACTTCTGCAATTTTTTTGCATACTGAATAAAAATATAAAAGCATATGAAAACATGTATAGGTAGATATTTGTATGATTTCATTATTGGAAAAAATCAAATTATACATCCCTTTKGAAGAATTTTAGTTTCCTATGAAAAAGTTTTCCTTTAATATAATTTCCAAAGTGTTTGGAGAGGTTACAGGCAGACAAGGCATTTCTATGCTCAAAAGCTGTATTCAAACTAAGAAAAGATCACAAATTCATTGTAGGTACTGACACAACGCACAAGGATTAACTTGTAAAATTACCTATTGATCCATAGCTAAGAACAGATGTCCAATACTCCATTTAGTAGTTATATACATAAAACTTCATTTTCAAAGATTTTTCTTCTCCTTTAATTCTTTATCACATAAAAATATATTCATTTTAGGAAAATCAGAATAATAAAAATTCTTGTAATTCCATCACTCACAGATTATCACTTTTAACAGAATTTATGTATGGATCAATGGACTATTATTTTAAACATATATTTCATTCCACAAAATGGGAGCAAACTTTCCCTACCATTTGTTTGTATCACTTAAGAAAAGTCAATACATTATGAAYATCTTATGTCATAAAATATTTTTCTCAGATATATTTTAATGACTAAATTTGAATTCCATTGCTTGAATGTTCCAAAATTGCTAAAACACCCTTGTTGTTTGCACTCAAACTATATAAAGGTTTTATTTTGTTTTATTTGGTAACAATTTTTTAATCACCCTAGAATACAAAATAAATATTTGAATCAAGTTTTGAGTGTTGAAGGCAGGCATTTTAAATTCATCCATTTTCTTCAAATACTTAGCCTTACTTTCTAAATGAGAGCAACATTGTGAGAATAGTGAACTGTATTAGAAATCCATAATGTGGGACCAAGGGATTGAAATGAAAGGAGGGGCCAGAGGCTCACAACAGTAAAGGTAACAAAATCTGTTTGGTTTGTTTGCTTATTTATTTATTCATTTTTTTAATTGTCATCATGTGCTGGAAAATCTAAAAAATGTCATTGAAAGACTACCCCTTCCTACAAAGCAAACCATTTCTACCACCCATTCTTGATAAGCCACTCAATCCTAAAAGAGGAATACTGAGACTAGATACAGTTAAACCTGCTCCTTTATAGACTCAACTATACTGAAATGTCACCCATGTTTGCAGTTAAGCAGGACACTGTGACCTTAATTAACAGAGGATCAGGTTAGGGAGGTGTACCACTCAATCAGTAACAAATAGGAACATTATAACACAATCAGAGATCACAGTCAATACTGACCTCCTTCCCTATTTGCATCAGAGATGTTTACTCAAAAAACAAATTGATCTGAAAAGTTACTTTCTTTCAAGAGTATTTGGAAATGTTGAGAATATATGTTGCAACACAAAGAGAGGTGAAGCATATACAGGTAGTTTAGGGAAAAAAGACCAGCAGTTCTTCTGTAATTGAATATATTTTGTTTGTTTTACTATCAAATAACCAATTGGATCAAATTCTTAATGATGCTAGAAAACTTGATCCCAATATTTGTTCTGTATTATAGGGTGATATAAATTGATTTTATTTATAAAAAATAAAACATATATAGTCTAAATGCCAACAAGAGTGTTTTAGCAATTGTGGCACATTCAAGCAATAGAATTCAAATGTAGTCATTAAAATATTTTAAAATTTTGAGATAGAATTTTAAATATGGAAATATAATGATAGAAAACAGAATCCTCTTATTTCCTTATCTATTAATTACCTCCCTACCCCTTCTCCATCTCCAGTTAACCTTTATTAAATTCCTCAGAGAAACATAAATTGAGATTTCAGATGTGCTTTTGAAAATAAAATAGATACTTATTTACTAGAAACCAAGTTACATATTGGTTTATATGTGAAAGTTTTATGATATATATGTTCATCTGTTCTACTTTCCTACTGAAACAGATGAAGAAACATCAATCAAATTCATGAAAAGTTAAATTATAGGTAAGAATGAACTTCATAACATGTATTGCCAGGTTCTGGATTTGTTTTTTAAATTTGTCTTTACTGTGTTTCTCTGAGCAGGGTTAGAAGAAAGATATATAAAGAGAGTGACAGAAGACTTGAGTTTGAATTCAAATTCTGTCTCTTCACTAGATGGATGTTAGTTACTTAGAACTTTGGAATATAATCTATAAAATGGAGATGATAAAACCTCACACACTTGTTCCCTAAGATTCTAGAACCTTTAACCATCACATGACAGATGCTGTATAGAAGAGTTAATGAATATCAAATGTGTGTTAGATATCAGGGTATTCATATTCTTATGAATATGACAGTCCTTGGAGAACCCCATAGAGTTCAATAAATACAGTAGACATGTAAATGGATCTTTTCAACATAGGGATATGTGGGGTGCTATAGAACAGAATGACATTGCCCAGTGGAACTTTCTATGATGACAGGCATATTCTATATATGTACATCAAACAGATAAGCACAAGAGACTGTTGAGTGCTTGAAATATGGCTAGTGTGAATGAGGAAATGCATTTGAAACTTTATTTAATTTTCATTAGTTTAAATTGAAATTGAAATAGATACTAGTGGTCACCCTACTGGACAGCATGGCTAAAGAAGAGCAAATGAGAGGCAATACAAGCCAGGACTTACAGGAAGATGCTCCCTATATGACTTTAGAGTACTCAAAATAGCTAGTTTCATAGAAAAGAGCAATAATTTAAAACAGATTATTTTAAAAAATGTGCTTAGAAATCTATTTAGGAGAACAGTTATTTGGGCTGAAAGTCTGCATTAGTTCAGCTTGCTTTCAATGTGCTTCTCCTCAAGTGTATCTCAATGTGAAATGATTTTTAAGTCAGAAAACGAGAACATAATGAACTGCTGCTTGAAGCAGATACTCTTGAAGTTTTCCATGAACACAGACTCACTAAGAACAAAAGACAATTTTATCCAGGTACTGGGGAGGTGTGAGTACTCATTGTAGGCACATGTGAGATTGGGAGATGGCTTAGTCTGGCTTCTCTGTGCAATCAAGTTCAGCCTTACCTCACTTTTCGGGTTTGCACACCCTCTCCACAGTTATCCCGCATATTCACAAAGGTCACCTTGCAGACGCTCCATGGTTCTGTGACCCATATATACTGGTTGCAGTCACTGTGGCATGGGACAACCTCATACACCTGAAATACACATGGTTCTCAGTTGACCTCAGGGAATCCAAGAAGGGTGAGCAGGAGGATCATCTTAGCAGTGCTATCATTATTTCATTGGTAAGCAACTTTCATTCCTCCCTCTTATTGTTCATTATTTGGAAATAGAAACAGAGGGAGTTCCATGAGYATTCTGGTAAAGGGGAGGGCTGGCTGTGTTGCATTGCTGTTCTTCCATTGCATGGTCAGTATAGATCTGACTCACTGGACCAGATTCGATACGTATTTTCCTGTACTGACCCCTCCTCCACTGTATTGTAATTTTCTGGAACATTTGTTTTGTTCACAATTTTATGTGTCTTTAATACTTAGCTCAGCCTGCTTATATGTTAGGCACTCAATGAGATTTGTCAAATAAAATGAATGATTGGATGAAAAGAGTATATAAATATTTGTTTTCCATATATATATATATATATTAGCTTGTTTTTCAGATAAATACATACAATAATGAGAGTTACACTTATTTTTTGTTTTTCATACAGACAGCTAAATTAAAAGATAGATAACATAAAATAAAGCCATCTTAAGGCTAATCTTCAATCTTTTAGAATTTGGAAGCAAGGTCTATAATCAGGATCATATTATACACAGCTAGAGCCCAAAGCAGTGAGGGAACAAAGAAAATTACCCATGCTCTGGTTCCATGAAGACATTCAGCCCCATGGGTGGGGGGGGGTGATGTTTGGTTTCAGGAAATTTTCTACAATGAACCAATTATATAGTTCTCTCAATGAGAGAAATAACTAAAGAACATATATGGACTATAATCCATTGCCACCAAGCTGATACAACCAGTAAGGAAAAACCTTTTAAAATATTTTCATAATCTGTGACAGTTCACTATGTCCTATTTTACACACACACACACACACACACACACACACACACACAAACTTCAGATAAATGTTTTATGAACCTAATTCTAGAAAACATTGATTTAAGTAGCCTTTTGGTATTCTGTTTTTGTGCAAATTTTATTGCATTAAAAACTCACTTAAAAGTGAGTGAAGTGAATCTATTCTAAATAGGGATAGAAAGTATGCATTGTTGGAATAAAACTAGTCACTTCCATAAGTCACCACATTCATGTCTGGGTGCATATTAAAACAGGACTAATATTAAACACTGCAACTCCTGGGGAAGGGGAAAGTTAAAGGGGACCTGCTGTTCTTCTTAATCCTTTGATGGCTTTCATTTTTTTTCTTTTTTTTTCTTTTGTTTTGGTACCAGAGATTGAACTCAGGGGCACTTGATGACTAAGCCACATCCCAGCCCTATTTTGTATTTTATTTAGCTACAGGGTCTCACTGAGTTGCTTAGCACCTCACTTTTGCTGAGGCTGGCTTTGAATTCACCATCTTCCTGCCTCAGCCTCCCCAGCTGCTAGGATTACAGTGCACCACGGAACCTGGCAATGGCTTTCATTTTAATGTCCTTCTTTGAAGTGAATAGAAATCAGTTCAGAGTAACCTCTAACCACCCATGTTTGGCCCACCTCCACCTTGTCCCTCTCTGAGATGCACAAGAACATTAATAAGAGGTATCACTGCTATGTCAAAGTGAGGTGAAGCTTGTTCCTAATTCCCCTCAGGCCCTGACAATAAAATGAGGAAACACAGGTAGCTATGCTAAGAAATATAAAAGGAAGAGGTATGGGGAAAATTAATGAAAAACATGATATTTCCTTCTGGTAAAACATAAAAGACAATGGCAGGAAAATAAATCAGGAATTTTTAAAAAGTACTTTGTTATGAACCAAGAAGTTTAACTTACCTGTGCCTAGAAGCAGCATTCAACAGGAATGAAGAAAAGGGAGAGAAACAAAGTAAAAATATCAGTATATCATGAAAGTAACTCATGGTCTAAATTTCAAGTATGATTGTTTATATATAAAAGCTTATTTTTTGGGTAAAGGATTAGAACATTTTTTTCTTAGGCTATAAAAGAGAAAAACCAACCACTTATTATTGCTGAAAAGTAAGGTGTGAAAATGAGTCTTGCAGACACACAGCCAAGGAAAGGATTAGATGATCAGGATGAAGAAATCTCAGAAAGCAAAGTCAACCTCAACACACATATCACAGGGAGCTGACATGTTATTGAAAATACCTTGTGATCCAGCTTATAAATGGACTAATATCTGCATATTGATCTATCTATAGACCCATCTATTCATTGATCTGTCTTAATCAATAATCCATCTATCTTTCAGGAAATGAAGATTTGAAGATTTTGCTCCTCAACTGGAGAATGGTACCCTAGAGACCATTTTATTTCTTTGTCTTTTTTTTTAAGTTGTTTTCTTTTTAGCTCTCAGAGACCATTTTTTAAAAACTTTTTTTTAAAAAAAGTTGTTGATAGACCTTTATTTTATTTATTTATATGTGGTGCTGAAAACCATACCCAGTACCTCACACATGCCAGGCAAGTGCACTACTGCTGAGACACAGCCCCAACCCTCAGAGACCATTTTTAAGTCAATGGATTGCCTTTTATTTAGTAATGTATAAATCTAGTAAAAGAATCTATAGTATATACAGTTTCTAATATTAATAAAAGCTTTGCATATTCTTTACTTTCCCTAAATATTTTATTAATGCATGTATACCTAGAAGTTTCTATTTTTTATGTAGAACATCTGTGCTCAAAGTCACATGTTCAAAAATCTATTATTTCTTGTTTTAGCTTTGATTTTTTTTCTGTTAATCTTGATATGCCTCCAGTAAGCTGAGAACAAGTACACAAATGTCCTATTAAATTCTGTGTCAGATTACATCAGAGATGAAAAGTCACAGCAAAAGGATTTCAGGCTAAAATACTTTTCATAGCAAAGACAACATTGCATGAGGCCTTGAATCTTTGGAAATTTATTATTAAAGAAAATGTTGAGGGGAACAAACTTACTTTAATTGCAGATCTGACTAGCTGCACATACACATACAAGCTCTCTAATGTGAAATGTATACAAATATGTGCAGAATTTCTTTATTAGACCATGGATGATAATTTATTAAAATTAAGATTTACTATTGAAAAGTCAAGTTTTCACAACTTGTAAGGAAACATTCTTTTATATTATAAACATTTAAGTTTAATTATTCCATTTCATATCTATATAATTAGAATCATGGAATTCAGTTTTCTTCTTTGGAAATATTTTCTAGCTACTGAGAAATACAAAATGCCCAATGACAGGGAAGCTCAACTACCAGTAGGTGGCAGCAGTGGAGTATTTAATCCCCTCTAGAGAATATAAGGAATATATTCAGCAACTTGGGAAAAACCAGGATGCTTTGAGAATACTTTCTGTGGAATTGAATTTTCCACGATCTTTATCTTTATTTATTTATTCAAAAGGTTTTTTTATCTGTTTTCTCTTCAGTGTGATTCTATTGTTATGAACAAATTTAGATTAATTTAGAAAGAAAAGTGTGTATACTGCTGAGCTATAGGTTTGGAAACTAAAATTAGGTAGTGTATGTCTGTATGAAACATTTCCACATATCTAAGGACTTGATTAATTTTGTTGTGACTTAAATTCAAATACACATCAGCGCATACTGTATGAAATTCATTCTTTCTTAATTCACATGTACATCAAACATAATAATTATAGGATACATTAATTTACATTAAATTAGTCACAACTCCCCAATTAGCCTGTTTACTTTTTATTTCCAACAGAGTATAGATAATAAATATTGATAGGAGATAACTAAGTGTGCAACCAAATGCTAATAAAACTCGAAAAAAATTTTAAGTGGATACTAATGAGATTGATAGTGTATTCACAGTGACTTCAAAGCCATCTTTATATATATTTGGCACTGGGGATTGAACTCAGGRGCACTAGACCACTGAGCCACATCCCCAGTCCTATTTTGTATTTTATTTAGTGACAGGGTCTCACTGAATTGCTTAGCACCTCACTTTTGCTGAGACTGGTTTTGAACTCATGATTCTCCTGCCTCAGCCTCATGAGCTGCTGGGATTACAGGCATGTGCATCTTCATATTTCTTCCCTCAACTTATTTTATGTCAAACAAATTTAAGTGGATTAACAGCATAGTTTTCCTAATTTTAGACCTACACCTATATATTTTCTTCAATTTTAACTTAATCAGTTGTAATCGCAATGTCTATTTTGAGAATCTAGGAAGACTGTAAGGATGGCACAATATTATCATACGAGTTAGGTATAATTAGGTATAATTTTATGACAGTTCAAATACCTTGACATCATTTCAAAGATAGGTATTACTTCTGTCTGCTGAATTTTATCCATATCTGTACACTTACAGGGAACTGAGTCCCAGAGAATTCAAAGATAACATATCTAACTTGGGATTCTATCAAGGTATGTGTAATTGATTTAGGCATTCTGAAGATTAAATGGATCAGTTTTCTTATTCAGGAGCTACTATTAACTGTTGTCCATTTTGGAGAAATGACAGATCATTCATTGTGAATCTAAAACATATCTCAACAGTCTTGATGATAGGAAAATACCTGGTTGACATGGTCCAGTTTGGGGCAAGGTCTTCCTCCATTATATGGTTTTTCACGCAGCCATTTAGAACGAACCTTCACCCCACTGCCACAAGACTTACTGCAGCGGGACCAGTTGGACCACTCGCTGAGCTTGCAGTCTGAGGGGCAGGGGATGATGCAGGCCTCTTCAATGTATCCTGAGTGGAGAAAAATGAGATAAAGACCATCTCCTCCACTTGCCACTCTCCCATGACTACCCACGGTTCTAGCTCATTTAGAAGGTCCAAGTTTGATTTGACAGCAGCATGCAAATGCAGGGATGTTTCCATTGTTAGGGGCTCAATTAAATCCTGCAGGAAAATGACACATACATGGAGCGACTCTGTTCAAATAACAGCTGAGCAGATGCCATATGATCTGCTTAGGATTTGTGCTCACCATATTTCAACATTTCTGACTTTCTGACAGCTTTCTTGTTTAATTGACAATAACCTGTCTGCTGCCATATCACTCTCAGGCTGCCAGAATGGTACATTAAAAGAAAATAGCCCATAAAACAGTTTTCTATAAAACCCTATCTGTTAATGTCACACAAGGTCAGTTTTTGAGTCCATGCAACATTCTTCCTCAAGAAGAAGAGCCACCCCCTCTCAATCAATATCTGAAAAGGACCATTTAACTTAGCACCTTATGTTTCCTTTTCTTTGAAAATAAAATCTGAAGAAAAATGAAGGATGTTAAATAAATAATGCCTCATATTTTTACAGTGCTGTCAATTTCAAAGCACCTTCACATCTCATATCCTTTTGGTTCTTTTGAAAAAAAAATCTGAGAAATGTATTGGGCATGTATATGGATATTTAGTGACCAGAAAATAAAACAACTGCAGATAGATAACTGACAGGTTCAAGGTCACAGAGTAAGAGATGCGAAAGGTTTTCTGGGGTCTAGTCCAATACTCATTCCATCAAATCACACAGTCAGTTCAATTAATAGTCTACAGATTTGTTTTGGGAAATGGGAACATTTTTCTTGAACAATCCTTCACTATCAACTTGGCATGTCACAATATCAAATCATTACTATTGTTCTCAAGGCAAATATATAGAAAAAACAAAATTCCTCTGGTTAAGAATCAAGTTCCTGATTGTCCCTCCTCCTCCATAATTCTGACTATGGAGACAGGTCACTCCTGGCACAAGTCTGTCTTATCAATTTACATCAATAGCAGGGATTTGGTTTTGAAAACAATTATAAAATAAATAAGTTATACTAGAGAACTCTGCATAGCTTTAATTTTTTTTGAGACAAAATTCATTTACCACAAAAATCAGCTCATGTTTTGGCTTTTAGTATATGTACTGAGTTGGATAGTCATTACCACCATATAATTTTAGAACATTTTTCTCACCCAAAAAGAAACAGTGTACTTATTGGCGGTTAATTCCTATTTCCCCTTTCCTTGTCCCTTGCTGATCTCTAATCTACTTTCTGTCTATATGAAATTTTCTATTCTGGACATTTCATATAATGAAATCAAACCAAACAGTGTATGTTCTTTTGTGATTGGCTTCTTTCACCTAGTTTAATTTTCTTCAAAGYTCATCTTTGTTGTAGGATTTATTAAAGCTTCATTCTTTTTATGATTGAATACTATCCCATTGTATGGMTACACCATATTTTGTTTGTCCATTCATCAGTTGATGGAAATTTGTTTCTACATTTCTCTATTAAGAATAATGCTATGAAAATTTGTGTACAAAGTTTACAGGGACAAGTTTCTATTTCCCCGAGAGTGAAATTGCTCAGTAATATTGCAGTTCTATACAGTCTTTAATTTTTTTTTGTATCCGGAATTGAACTCAGGGGCACTCAACCACTGAGCCACATCGTCAGCCTTGTATTGTATTTTATTTAGACACAGTCTCACTGAGTTGCTTAGCTCCTCACTGTTGCTGAGGCTGGCTTTGAACTCTTGATCCTCCTGCCTCAGCCTCCCGAGCCACTGGGGTTACAGGCATATGCCACTGTGCCCAGCTTAGTACTTAATTTTTAAAGTACTAAGTTTCCTAAAGTAACTTTAGTTTCCTAAAGTTACTGCACCAATTTACATTCTACCAGCAATATGTAAGTGTTCCAAACCTTGTCAAACTTACTGTCTAATTTTAATTTTATATTCAGTTATGGGGTTTAAACCCAGGACCTTGTGCATGCTAGGCAAGCACTCTACCACAGAGATACACCCTGAACCCTTTTTACTTTAGTGCTTGCTGAAGAACAAAAGTGTGTGTGTGTGTGTGTGTGTGTGTGTGTGTGTGTGGTGGGGAGGCTGGGGTTGTGGCTCAGTGGTAGAGCACTTGCCTAGCATGTGTGACACACTGGGTTCAATTCTCAGCACCACATAAAAAAATAAATAAGGATATTATGTTCATCTATAGCCAAAAATATTTTTAGAAAGTGTGTGTGTGTGTGTGTGTGTGTGTGTGTGTGTGTGTGTGTGTTTGGTGCTGGGGATGGAACCCATGGCCTTGCACGTGTTGGGTGAGCACTCTACCACTGATCTACATCTTCAGTCCCAAGAACAAATGATTTAAATGCTAATGAAGACCAATTTAATTTTGCTTTCTTTCTTTGTATTTTGGTATCACTTCTATGAAACCATTACCTTATCTAAGGTCATAAAGTTTTACACTTCTGAAGTGACAACTTTATAATTTTAGCCTTAATTCAGGTATATTTCATTTTGAGTTAATTTTGTATATGATAATGATAAAGGACAAATTTATTCTTCTGTATGTGGTTATTGACAATGTCTATAACCATGACATGACACAGTCTCAGTCTATCAGGTTATTGAATTATCTTGGTCCCATTTGCTCAAAATTTATCCTTTTCTATTGAATTGCTTTAGCATCCTGGCTGGAAATTGACTTTAGATATAAGGCTTTATTTTTAGGCTCTATATTTCATTCAATTTATCTCTATCTCTGTTCTCATGCCAGCACCATATTGTCTTTACTGTAACTTTTTGCTAAGTTTTGAAACAGGAAGTATGAGTCTATTTTATTCTTTGTCAAAATAGTTTTGGTTATTTGAAACTCTTATATTTTCATGTGCATTTTAGAATCAGCTTGTAAATTTCTGCAAGGAAATACAACTAGGATTTTAATAGCAATTGTTTCAAATCTGTTAATCAACTTATGAGCATTATTGTCTTAACAATCCACGTACATGAAATTTCTTTCTATTCATTTGGTTTTCTTTAATTTCTTTCAATGAGTTTTTTTTGTAGTTTTGTAGTATAAACTCTTAAATTTATTTGATTAAGTTAATTCCTAAATATTTTATTCTTTTTATTCTAAATAGAGTTAAAAAGCAAGCAAAAAGTATGCATTTCTTTAATTGTAGGAAAATCAGACTACCTTTAAACCAAAATGCCAAATTTAATCTATAAGCTTTTGAGCAACTTGTCCTGGATTTAAATTGTGCTTAAAATGCTAGACAACTGTTACAATTTTCCTAATTCTGCCTAACTATAAATTACTTAGGAAACTTCAAAAGTATAAGCTTCTACCACCCCCAGACATTCAGATATAGTTCATCTAGGATAGGATCTGATTTAATTGAAAAAGATTTTTTTTGTCAAGCTAGTTGCAGATTCACATGTAATTGAAACACTAATAAGACAAAAGTTCTTTGTAGATGTTTTCCCAATTACCTCAATGGTAACTAGAGTATAGTTTCAACTAAGATATTGACAATGATACAGTCCATTAAGCCTTTCCTGGGTTCACCAGTTTCACCTGTACTCATTTGAGTATGTGGGAGTGTGTAGGACTGAAGTTAGGGAATACTCTTGTAAGACACAGGGACAGCAAATAAAATCTGGAAGAGAAATAGATTTGTGGCATATCTTTATATTATCTCCCATATTTTGTTAATGATATACATCATCTATTTTAACTTTTATTATAGTCCCTATAACCAAAAGAGCATCTCTCATTGGTATAAAGTTCACTGGGCATGTCATGAAACTAATGATCCAACAACGTCCATTGTGTTCATTTCCGATCACTACCTTTGTTTTTTAGGAGGGCAACTGATATCCTGACTTCTCACAATGTAGAATAGTTTTACTTTTTAAATTTATGTAAACAGAACAACAGAGTGCATACCCATTTGTGCTAGCCTTCTTTCACTCTTCTTTGTGATGCGAGATTCATCCATGTTGTTGCACTTTCGAGGATCATGTATTCTATACGACATTCTATTGTGTGAAAATGCTATGGTGCATTTATTCATTCTATTATTGGTGAGTATTTAGGCGGTTTTAGCTAAGGGGCTATTGTTTATAGTGATGCTATGAACATTCTGGAACACAACTTTTGGTAAAAGTAAGAATGCATTTTTTTTTCTGAGTATTCTTAAGAGAGGAACTAATGTGTCAGAGGGTATGTATATTAATCATCTTATTGTAAGAAAGTATTAAATATTTTTAATGGGATCACAAAGTTGGTATGGAAATCTGATTGTAATGAAAGAGTTTTTTAAGAGGGGATTAGTCCCAAATAATCTCCTGAGGGTAGACATGCCTGTTGGGTTTTATCAGCTGTGAAATACTGAAGACAGAAAGAAGATGCCAATGTTGAGTTTTGAATGTACTTCTGATATTGAAGAAGGCTATGAAGTATTGGTAGTGATCTAGAGGAGAGTCCAACAAAGAATTGAAGGAATACTTTACAATAATGTTCACTAAAATTTTAAGAATCATAGGTATTTTTCAATACCTAACAAAAGGAAGATCAGTAGAGGCAGAGGATCAGGGGAAGGGAGCAGGGGAGGGAAGAGAGTAGTAGTGGGGATGGAGGAGAAAACTATGTCATATACACTTATAAACATGTTAAAATGAATCCCAATAGCTCTAATGCACTAAAAAAGGATCATACTTTGACTTTAGTTGTGTTTTGAGATTGCAAAATAAATCCCCACTCCCAAATATTTTTAGTTGAAATTAATTTCAAGTACTATTTCCTTTATTCTACACCAGAGCCAGTAAAAAAAAATTTCTTTAAAATAGTATGAGATGCTTAAAAAACAATTCCTGTTTGGGCCAGTAAAATTTGTCTTAATTTTAATAGCTAAATAAGTGGAATCAAACTGTAAAAATGTCTAAAGTCATTGCCGAATCAATGAGATT